TTTAAGACTTTATAAGCATGTTTGCATATCTGTATTTTATACGTAAAAATTCCAAGACTTGAAAACTTTAGAAAAATATAGGATATTTGTTGCGTAAATTATTTTGCATTGGTTTAAATATGTTTACAATAAAAAGGCAAATGCTTTTAAGAGTTAGTGCATTGGTAGTAAACATTTATTACCCTTAATCATACGTTTCCGTACGACAGAGATGTAAAGCTTTACTCGACAATTATCTCCGTGGCAATAATCAAAGCAATCAACACAAAACTACAGTAATTGTCGCACTAAATTAAACGGCCGTAAGGTTTTAAATGCGATCTAAAAGTATTCCTCTCTGACTATAAAATTAATTCGTCAAAATTGTATTCATTATTTCAATCTGTGTTTTATTACGAATTACTAAGAATTTATTTTATCGTCCATATAAAGGTTTTTCAGTCAACCGGTAAGGACTACCGTAGTTCGAAATAATTTATTTGGACCTTCTGTTTGTTCAGACGATCTTTTTGCGGCTTCTTTTGTTTTATTCGTAATGATAAATTCATTGGGTAATAAAATTATACGGTAGAGGTTATTGACCTGTGTTGATTCTAGGTTTTTTCATAGAAATAATTTTGTATAGACGATAATCAACTAACCGGTAACCTGAAAGTTTGTTATTATGAATATCAAATACGAAAGCAAGGAAAAGTCTCGTTTTTCCAAAAGTAATGAAATATATGTATTTGATACCATTATTAACTGGATAAACTCAATAAAAGCGTTAATTAAATTTGTTATCTGTGACAATTAAAAATATTTAGTCTGTATTAATAAAAGTTCATTGAACACAATAGGTAGGCGACAGATAAGCGTAATGAAATCAGAAGCTAGATTACTTTCCAGATATGGACATGAATGATGTTAATGACCTCGCAAGGCCAAAGGCCTCCTCGGAATAGCTTTATAACCTTTCGATTTTAAAAATTACATTTTTATTTTCCGCAACATAATAATCTATATCAAGTATATCTTTATTACAATCGGCCGTACGCGTGTTTATATTATTGAGTCGTAAGATAATTTTAACATTTTATTCGATTCAGGCGACTCGAATCATGAACATATCGAGAAATATAATAAAGCGTCAAACGACGCTGTGTTGAAAACGAAACAATGTGCAACAAAGATAAAATGGTCAGCGGGAAGTTCGGTTTCACCGCTAAAAAGGACAAAGTGATTGTGACGGAGGCTAAGACTGAGTTTAGCGTTAAGGAGAAATGTCGAAAAATACAGAAGAAACTTAAGAAGACTGATAAACAAAAGACTGATGTTAAAGAGAAAGCTATTTGGTGGAACCAGTGTAGCAGCCGTAAGTAGATCTTACAATCTTACAATTAAGAAATAAAAATATATAAATCAATGTTTTCCTGAGACAAAGATTATTACATAAAATAAATTCTAGTGTTCAGTAGAACAATTTACTATTAGTAGTGGTACTTTTTACCAAAATGTATTTTAATATTTGTTTGTTTATCATTTCAACGTCTTTGATATCTAGAGAATGTTATTACGAAGATTCATGTATTTGTTTTAAAATGTTTTAGTAATTTCAAAAATAATTTTCCAATTGTGACGTGGGTCAAATACAATGACAGATTGCTAGAATTAGGCAAATGATGGGAACCTTTCTATTTTTGTTTAATATTCAGATTACTTTCCGATGTCGAATATCCGTGCTCGATAACATTTCCCATATTACCTTTCGACTGTTAAATAAAGCCGAAGGTACGCGTTTTAAATTATTTATGAATGTAAAATAAAACTAGATACTGTTTTTATTATTGCAAGAGCCATTGGCCCTTTAAGGGCCTACGGGCTTGTTACACTCTATGAATGTGCAATGAGGGGAAATTAGATCAACAAGGTCCAGCTTTTGAAATCGGCTCGGTACCTCCTGCTCGTACGACGGCACAACGAGGCCAAAGCGGCCTTAAACGTCGCCTTCAAACAATTTTACCGAAGTCAGCCCTTCTAATGATCGTAGTTACGATTTCGACATTGACTTTTGCGATTCGTGTAGCCCTGCCCTTATTTTCTATGTTTCGATGGCTTATTACGATTAAACAGTTTCGTAACTGACCTCTTTGGAACATAATAAATCAATATTCAAGCGTATGACACTTTCAAACATGTTACTTGTTTTAACGAAGGCTATTCTAGTATATATGTATTGTTTTTACATTTTTGCTTGAAGAACGATTTCGTATAATATAAGTAGTTCAACGCAGTTTAAGTATGTCAGTGGAAAGCGCGAGAGAATCCCGTGAAATCGGCTCACAAACGCCGACGACGCGCACTCTCCACAGCATCCACTTTCTAAACTGGCTAGACTGCGGCGTCGGTTAATAGTTCAGGAACTGCTACTCGCTCGGCCGCATGAAAGTTGTCTTTTATTGACATTTCCTTGTGAGAAAATTCAAAGAGCTCACACCACTTTTGTATCAACGCTACTATGTATAAAGAAATATAGTTTGGTATTTTGATGCAGACAAAACGATTAAATTAAATCTTTAACATCGTTCATAAACAAATGAGAAAATATAACGTGGGAATAATTTCTACTTTGTTGAGTTCTTTCTTTTAAATAATAAAACAACAATTTGGTGTATGGGAAAATGTAAGCGACAGTTTAGAAAATCATTGTTTGAATATGCATCTCATTCTTCGCTAATGTTTCAATTTACTCGTATGTTTGTTAATTCCATGGTCCTCCTATCTTCAATAAAAATATTTCAAGTATGTAGTAAGCAAAAGTATAAATCAATCTAAGATTAATATCACAACGAATTTTAAAGTTAAAAAGCCTGCACCAAACTTTGTTACTTATATCAGTCGTTAAATAAATTAGGAATTAAATCAACCTAAGTAAAGCTTAAATCTTCATTAGCATGTTTGCGATTTAACACAAAGTTCGTTTTCAAGCAGAACTATAATTATCTGTATGAATAATATCTTTTAGTAATTTTTTAATTGGCAATGTCATTATATCAATGCCTTATTAGGTATCGCTTGTACCTCAAGACGGACGGTTGATTTCGATTTTACTATCGCATTCTGGTTACTAAGCGGATTAAAGCTACGTCTTAATGTCTTCGTTACATTGTAACTCAGTGGATATTAATCAATCTTATACTTGTTTCATAAAAATAGACTTGCAGATGTCATTTTGCTTCTTTGATATAATCAAGGAAGTGATAATTTGTTAATCATTCTTAAGTTGTTTGTACTAAAGGGGAGTTTTTTTGTTATATCACAAGGTGTCAAAGAACCAATCGGTTGCCTGAATTCTTCAAAATGGCTATGTGACCGCTACTCATAGACTTCCACAATTGAAGATGCGTTGGCTACCTTAAAACGACGCATAGGGTATACCAAGAAAGAGATAGTTCCCCTTTTTATGCATCCCCTCTTCTGACAAATCAAATTGCCCTTCTCATGCTTTCCTCATATGATAAAGGCGGGGAGGGAAAGGAGACTAGAATTAGGCTTCCAGTATGCACACTCATCAGACGAAACGCGGAATTTCTTTGTCTTTTCGCACATCCTTTGTGTGGTCGTGGTATTTTACCGTTTGAGCTGACCCGTTTGGGCAACAGATTTGCCGGCATCTACCATTGTTAAAGATACAATAGTTACATAAGATATATGACAAAAAATCACAAACTTACATTAATTATATTTTCAATAATTTCATCTAACACCAGCGCTGAAATAAATAACAAAATATTTTCTTAGCTACAGGTTTTTATAACGGGAGTATTAGGACATTAACTATGAATGGGCATAGCACGGTTATGCAAATTAGTTATAATGTTTCTCCGAGACATGTTTCTTCGATGTTCGTTTACTTTTTAGTAAGGAAGCGTTTTATTCTAAAGTAGAATTTCTATAAACCAAGTAAAATCCAGCACACGATACGTCCCCACTCAGGGGCTCGGAACCTACCACAATTTAGGAGAGTCTAGGTCATAGCCAACCTCGCTGACCCAGTGCGGGTTGGCTGACTTTACACATATCTTTAAATTTCTTCTCAGATATGTGCACGTTGCATTACAATGTTTTCCTTCACCGTAAAAACTTCGGATAAATGTACATACGTAAATCAAAAAACACAACTGCAGATTACAAGTCAAGTGCTTAACCGCTGAGCCACCGACGCTATACAATCTTACATAGATAACTCAAAAATGGCTTATCAGTTTTTCTTCATCCATACATCCATATAAACTTTCACTTTTATATTAGTAAGAAAAGTAAGTAGTAATATTTACGCGCATGTAATTCTGGACGCTACACCATTTCCTTATTTAAGAATTTTCATGATTGACAGGTCATAATGACATCTTGTCATCGTTTTTTGCTGTCAGTGAACTAATAAAAGTAGTAATTTCCCGGTGCATTAATATTTAAATACTTAAGTTGATTAGTACTTACCGAGTAAACTTAAAAACAATATCCTATACTTTGTATAAAATTCCAATTCCAAACAATATTATAACACAAAATTGGTCATCTCTGAGATATTTTTCTTGGCTCTTTGATTTATCAACGTTGTGCTTTTAAACTTAATAAATAAGTTACTTGTATTTCGATTATTAAGCAAAATTGAATGTCCATTTATTTGTAATACCATATGTCTAAAGGTAAGTATAAGGTGTATTTTTAATTTTAACAAAAATATGTACCTATATTCAAAACAAATTCCTTACGTTTAATTATAAATGTAGTGAATTTTATACCGTTTTTATGGTTTTATTTCGAATTTCATTTATGTTACAAACACCCTGTGAACAAGGAAATTTATTTTTATGAAATTGTAGTAGTGAAAAATTACGACTATCAACTCCGTACTTGATATTTACAACGTAAACAGGAGTAGCTTCTGGCTAAGGAATCCATATAAAATAGTATTTATTATAATTAAAAAAGGACTTATTTGATGTTTCTTGTTACAGTGAGTGAAATCGATCAGTACTTATGGATGGTTGGGGGATCTGCGGGCGCGTTGGCGCTCACGGGTGTCGCAGCGGCCTCCGCCTTCTATCTCAGCACGAGGCCAAAACCCGAGAAGCCTCTCGTCACACTACACGAACAAAGTTTGTTAGAACCGGTGAGTATTATACTGTCGCCCGCAACTTTGTCCGTGTTAACGATACATTTGTTTCTGTTGAATGTCCGTTTACAAAGATTAATAACCTATGTGCAAAAACTTGGTAGTCAAAATCTTACTAATTTAATGTCCCTTTAAAGTATTACTTATTTTTCGTTTGAAGACAAACTGCATGATAAGCATATAAATTGAATCATAGCACAAACATACTTTTAATATATTATATATAGACTAAAAATCCCGTAATCTTTTTTATCAACAACAATAAAATATTTCAAGCGAAAGGTGATTGAACGATAACAGAATTACTTGAATCTAATATTAGTGTATTCATTTATATTTTACAAATTAAGCAGAGTTGACATTATATCTATTAATTTAATACGAATAGTATGAATAGACCAGAATTAAACTAAGACCTTAGATTTATCTCGTAACTCTCTAAAATGTACATTTAAAGTTTCTTTTATAATTTACTAGTTGTTGCCCTAGACTCCGTCCGCGCGGTATTAAAAAAAACTTAGTAGCTTATGGTTTCTGGGAGATTATGTTCTACCTCTATACCAAATTTCATCGACATCTGTTGAGCTGTTCTGGAGATACCTTCTAATAAACATCAATCCATCATTTTAGATTTAATAAAATATTAATGACCTTTATGTTAAGTTCAATGATCGAACTGAATCTAAAATATGTAATGCAATAAATGCTATTCCACATTATATACATATAGTATATACTAATGCAGATTATTTCTGTTTCAAATGTCGAGTTAGGGGAACTCCTTTATATCCAGGTATCAAAGTTCGGATTGTCCCAGTACTAGCCGCCGAGAGTTGGCAGAGCGCATCTTCGAGCGATATTTTTAACTCATTGTACGAAGAGCAGCCCTGCTTGCTTCTCATGTCAGTCCCCAAAAAGTTTATAGCGAAAGTGACAAGCTTCTGAATCGCTCCCGGTTTACTAATTTATGAAAGACACGAACGAGTTAAAAATCTTATTGCTTTTGTTACGGTATGGAAGTGATGTGGTTGCGCAATTGCGCTTTTTAGGATTGTTTGGGATTTTCTGTGTTTTTTTTAGTGAAGTGATTTAATTGTGATAATGGCTTGCTGTGACTGTTGTATTGGAGTTGCGCCTATTCGGCCACCGATTAATCTTAGCGAACAATCTGATGCAATCAAAGTAAGCTTTACATTTAATAAATAAAATTTAATACCAATATTATAAATGCGAATGTTTAAATATATGGATGTTTGTTAGAAGGTATCTCCAGAACGGCTGAATGGATCTCGATGGAATTTTGCATACATACAGAACATAGTCTGAAGGAACACATTTTATACTATTTACGTTTCTTTTTAATTCCGTCCAGACGGAGTCGCGGGCGACAGCTAGTTTGATGAATAAAATTTTACTAAAATGGAATTAACATTTAAGAAAATAAGGTATTGGTTGTCATAGAAATCTAAACGTGATCATAGAAATTGCCTTAGTGTTATTTTATATTTTTAGAGAGTGCGGTTTAAACGCAGTTTGCGGTTACACGCACATGTATTGCGTATTTTGGCAAGGCACCGTTACATTTAGAATCGGATCATTGAAAGGTCGGAAATGTCGGTTACGTCTACGACTGAATCGACGCAAAAATAACATCTTCTAGATAGTTCTTTTATTTGCCAAATCACACATAATTTATTGTACATTATTTGACTCGAACTGTAGAGGATCGTGAAATGTCGAGCTGTTTTACGACAAGCGTTATGTGACCATGACTAAGAGTTTGAGTGGTTTGAACTATGTATTAGTTTTTTTCTGATGCGTGTAGTAGAATGCGTATAAAATCTGTTTACTCGAATAGCGATTATTTCTTGCATGCAAGTCTTAAATGTCTGAGATGTACTATAAATTGGACTTAGATTAGAAAACTTAGAAAGGACGAGGTATGCGACGATTATAGGATATTACCATAGGTTTTGACATAATGCAAAAAAGACATAAAATGGAAAATAATTTCTTATCATATAGGGAATCTTACGTAAAGCTTCTTTAAACTTATGAAGTTACCAATGAATAATAAACAACATGTTAGTTAAGTCAGAAACATGTTTTTTTATGCTATAATTATGATATTAACTGTACAGTTAGCTTCATAGATATGTGTAAATTTATAAAGCTCCAGAAACATGTATACACCTTCGGTTTCCTTGTATGCACTTGTCCATCTGTATGCTTCTGACTTTAAATAAATGTTACTGATGAATACATGTATGCATATTTTTGAAACACCAAAAGCCTATAATTTTTACGCATTAATTTATGCAGCTGACTGTACTTCAAACATGCGTAACCACAACCTTAATGTTTAAACGTTACTGCTTTGATATATGGACGCGGCAACTCACAACTTTTGCTAATATTTTGATGTTATATGGCCGATTAGAATTGGGAAATTACGATTAGTTTATTCAACTCTACATTCAGTTAATTTCAACTTAAGTCTACTTGCGTGTTAGTGAACTAATTTTGTTTGTTTTGCAGAAAGCGTTCGCGGATAATTTTAGTGTGTTGTAAATTTTATGAATATACTCGCCCCTATTCAACAGAGAGATTGTAAATTACTCCGGCAATAAAATAGGAACGTAAAAGTTATACTTCTAGCCGCTGTATATAAGGACTTAACGATGGTGTCAGTGGAAGACCATCTTTATATTTAGGCAAACATAATTTACTCTACTTAAATATTTCCACTTTCGTATAAGGGTACTTCAGTACTTGCCCAAAAATATATTCAGTTGTCAAGTCGCATCTCTCTCCATAAACAAGGAATTACCCAACATTAAATATTTATTGAAATAGGAGTAATTTACATTCAGGGTCCAACGTCACGCAGTTATTTAATCTAATATTGTTTATAAATAAAACCACCTTGCACCAAATTACGTACATTTTCATACAATTAAAGCGAACTTTTAGTATTTCATAAAAATAACATTTATATTATATTAACTTGAAATCAGTAAGTATTCGCCTAACTTCAACTTAGAGTAGATTTTTGCTTCGCTTTCTTTGGGCAGAACATTTGAATATCATGGTGATTCAAAATAATTCACCGTATCGCTTGGATGTTAGGTCTATTTCGACATCTCTGTTGAAAACACGTGATCGCAAGTCGATTACGAGAAATGTGCGTAAAACATATCGCAGATATTTCATATTCCCATTCCCACGCCCACATTGCATGGCAACGTATAAAAATAAAAATTCTATTGAGTTGGGAAAAGGGAGACTTAAATGCCTGTTTCACGTCTCTGAATTTTTGGCAGGGCGATCAGACGAGTCACGGGACTGGGGATAAATTAATATGAAAATCGTAATGTTTTGTCAAAGCAGTTTCAACATTGTAAACGTGTTAATTTTTCTTGCGATTAAAAACTGAATTTGTAGTACAGAAGGTCCAGTAGGGTTATTTGTGACATACGCCTTTGTAACGTATCAACAAAATATGTCAAAATTAGTGTGAGATTTGTCGCCCGTTGGGAGCGCCGCCAGAATATTCTTTACTTAATTACAAATTTTATTCTTACGAAAACGTTATAAATAATATTTGTGGTAGGACCTCAGTTATAATTACCGTAATACGCTCATGAGTTTACTGTGTGTAAAGGTAATCTGAGTTATTTAATAATTTCTGCGTATAAGTAGCCTAATCAAAATGGTATACGCAAATGGAATTAACAGAGTAAATTACTATAAGATTTTCTGGTTCGGGTTTTTTTAAATGACACTATTACTGTTTTTCGGAATATACTTTTCTCTTAAGTTTTTTTTCATTTATCTCGTAAGTTTATACAAAAATGTACAAAACACGGCCTTAAAATTGGTTTTAAGTTTCGTGCAATCTTACTAATATTATAAATGGGAAAGTTTGGATGTATGGACCTATGGATGTTTGTTAGAAGGTATCTCCAAAGCGGTTGGACGGATCTTGATGAAATTTGCCACAGACGTACATAGAACAAAGTCTAAAGGAACATACAGGTTGTTCTGTTCTGTTCTGTTTCTTGTTTATGGCTCTCCCTCATCGGATTGGGCCAATGTCAAGTGTTTATGGTTCTGTTTAAACTTGTTAGAGACTGGCAACAATACTCTGCTTGTAGAGAAGTCTTGTGAATATACAAGTGAACCAAAGAATAAAAAACATACAGGTTCCTTACTTAGTTTTTTGAAAGCCGCGTGAACATAGTCACGGATGACAGCTAGTATCTTTTATACACATTTCAATTTGTTTAATAATTTATGGTCTTTAAAAATGAAAGTGTTGTAAGATGTACAGTGATTCACTGATACGAAATGTTTAAGCAAATGTTTGGTACTTTAATAAGCCATACATCAATGTTGGAATAATTAAGTATATGTTTAAACCAATCTATCTCCGCATACCATGATTACGAAATGTAATAAACAAAATCAGACGTTTATTTCTATCTTACTTCTTACTATTATTATAAATGCTAATGTTTGGATGGATTGATGTCCAGAACGGCTGCGTGGATCTCGCTGAAATTTAACTTACATGTAGAACGTAGTTGGAAGAACACATAGACAACTAGTTAAGATTTTTTCTTATTCGGCTCGAACGGAGTCGCTCGTGACAGCTAGCATCGTATAAAATTCAAACAATGGAGTTTTATGTTTTTAATATTTTTTACAATACATTTTTTGTCGGGATTCCATAATTGCATTAATTGCAATAATTTTCTGCATATATTATGGGAACTTTTAACCACTAGGTGGACGAAAATCAATGAAAATATTACGCGTACTAAGATGAGAATTTCGCACGGATTTTATTGTGTGAAATTTAATAAATAAATCTCATACCAATATATGCTTTTAGTCAAGTCGATGAAAAATATATTACACATGTTTTCTTGTATAAAACAAATAAATTACGTTCATGTTAGTTTTCAATACATTTATAAAACAGCAAAATAATTTAAGGCATGTAAACATAGTAAAAATTCATCATATTCTGCTATTTACCAATGAATTGTTGACGTTAATAACAGATTAATTTTGAATTAAACTGTTGTGTTTTGTTGTCAAATTAAATAGTAAGTTAATAGAAATATTGTTTTCGTAAGCATTACACTGCGTAATAATAAGATTATTAATAGTATAGCAGCATTAACGGGCATTATTAGATCGTAGTAACTATAACCTCCATGCTAATAATAGATTATTAACTTTCTATAGCTTTTTGTTATATTGAACCTAATTTGTACCCTATGTGTTCTTCCAGGCGATGTTCTACATCTATGTCGAATTTCAGCGAGATTTATGCGTTCTGTAGATACCTTCTAACATGCATCCATTCATCTAAAAATCGCATTTATAATATTAGTTAGATAATAATTGACAAGTTCAATGCCCTAATATGGGATTGGGTACAACATGTTTACACCTTGGTATCTTGCCAAATTTAAGACGTGACAGCTAATCAAATGTGTCATTCGATGTTCACATGCAATTGTGTAACAAATTAGAATCAATTAAAATAAGAGCATAGCAATTATTGTAAACAATGGATGTCGTGCTGTTTGTTACAATGTCAAATGTATTTCTTTCTTACAAGATAAAATGAAATAAAACGTACAATATAGAAAACAGTCTGCTTTACGATACGATACTATACGATGACTCATCATCATCATCATCAGCTCACTATACGTCCCCACCGAGGGGCTCGGAGCCTACCCTAAGTTAAGGGTGATTAGGCCATAGTCAACCACGCTGACCAAGTGCCGCTTGGTTGACTTCACACATATCTTTGAATTTCTTCTCAGATATATGCAGGTTGCATCACGATGTTTTCCTTCACCGTAGGAACGTCGGATAAATGTACATATGTGAATCAGAAATCGAAAAATACATTGGTACATGGCGGGATTCGAACCTAGGATGTAGATTGCAAGTCAAGTGCTAGACCCCTGAGCCACCGACGCTCTTAAGAGATTCTTTTTCTCGGTATTTATTCGGTAAAATGGGAAAATAAACTAAAGAATGTAATTAAATTTCATTATCCCCTTTACAAATTTAGTCATGTTAATCGTAAGTCAAAATAACCAAATAAAATACATACGAAGTAGGTTTAACCTTTATAAGATGCAGACTATATAGACTTGAAAAGCGAAAACATTTAACTGAAATCGCTTGCAGTAAACATGTTTTTTTGTTCTCTTTATATGTTGTTATTATTTGCGTGAGTAAACTTTCAAGAACGTATTATCCGGAAACAGAAAATAAGCCAAACGTCCCTACAATGTCACGTATTCCAGAGATATTTTATTTTTAGACGTTGAGAAAGTCGTCTCACATCGAATTGACCTTCTGAAGATTGACGACCCAACAGGTTTTCTGAGATCTGAAAGATAAATTGAAAAAAATCATTTTTACGCCTCGAAAATAACATCGCTGATGCTCGTATTATTAATCCATTAAATCTTTTACGATTTAAGTGGTGAATTAAAAAATAACAATCTCTAAGGCGTTGAAGTATATAAAAAAAAATATTTTATGGCTATACTTTATAAAATCATAGGTCAATTTAAGAACGAAATCGAGAAAAATCTTTTTTGACCGCTTTAAAAATAGAATGTGCATGTCCTTGCATTGAGTTATAAATATGCAGACATCGGCCATCGGAAGATTTTGGGGAAACTAAATCCCACCCAACCTTGTGACACTAATCTTCAAACAGATCACCAGATGTCTCCCACAGCATTAAATGCCTAAGACTTTGCTTAGGATGTGATTTTAGTCAAATTTTAAACAATTCTCAGTAACGATGTCAATATTATAGAAACCTTTGGATGAATAAGTTAATTAAAATGAAAAGGTTTGAAATTAATTTCTGTGTACATATCATGGGACGATTTTAGTTCGCAATTTATAGAAGCTGCGTAGTGTTGCAATGTTTAAATATCAAACATATTTTGTATGTAGGTACAATTTAATAATAAGACTAGACGAAATTAAAGTGGGAGTTCGTAATTACGTAACACTTTTGTGTGGGCAATTTGACCACGGACGACATCTTTAGAGCTAATGAAACTGTTAATTACAACGTTAAATGTAAATTTACTATCTGCTTTGTACGTAAAGAAAACATCGTTAGAATACCTGAATGGAACATAAAAAAATAATTTATTACAAACACGTTAGAATCTCAGATTTACTAGAACTAGTGGTTATTATAATTTACTGGTACAATTTTATTACTAATCAAGAACAGTACTCCGTCAATTTAAAAATATTCTTACAAGACAGTCATTAAAAGTTAAAAACTTGATTATCAACTGATGTTATTTTAATTCGTTGATAGGATATTTTAAGTAAATGCAAGATAAAATTGTGGTCTTTTGCAATTGTTTTTATGAGACCAAGAACAGTTCCCAGCAATAATATTACTCAGAAAACTGGAGATGTATTCTTTATAACAATGGACGTATGCGGTTGGTTTGCGGCAACAATTTAAAAGGCTCATCTCTCACAAAACGTAATAAAGTTGAATGACCCTTTGACATACAGTGTTCCCAACATTTACCCTCAAATAAGATCATATCGTTTCGGTTTAATTTGTTTTTCAAGTTGAAGCCACAAGTGACATTGACCCGTTCTTCGTTCCATTTAGCTTCATAAAAACATTATACCGTAATGTGTAAGAGTACGGTGCGTTTAATAATATGAAATCCGAGTTAGTGGGTCAGATATGTCATTAGGTTAACGGACATTATTTGCAAAACATTTTAACGCTTCAACATATTTCGGATGCGGTTTAGTATGTAAACTAGAGATTACTAAATGTATTTTTCTCGTAACCAAAATTATACTAGTTTCGATTAATCGTCTGCAGCGATAGTTATTCTACAGTTTATAAGCTCTTAATCGTATTTTAAAGGGCACGGTGTACTATAACAGTGCAAATATTAGTTTATATGTGATTTAAGTATATCCACACGACTTTACATCATATGGTGTTGTCATTCGTGTAATCGCTTCATCGTAGGCAACGTTAAAAAGATTACAATTGATTAGTTCCTCGTGTGTTGCAAGGATTCAGCACATTGAACCCGGACGGATTATTTACATGGCAATATACGATTATTTTATAATCAATTTAAATATTCATTTATCTAGTTAGTTCGTCATTTGGTGCGTAAATTGGAACCATAGTCAACAAAAATATAATGTAACTTTTTTCCAGGGTCCTGAAATGGTGCGGGTCTCAAAATTCTACAAAGATGCAAAAAATGGCCGGTTCCTTCGCTACCTTCATGATGATACACGCACGCTTTTCGAAACATTTCGACGCGGTGTCAAAGAATCTAGTAAGTTGGTTTCACTATCAACACTAACCACGATATTAAAACTTGCAAGCAATGCGATGTTTTAAATGATGCTTTCAAGATTTGTGATTATTATATTGTTCAGTCTAATTATGGACTACACTAGCTTACGTAGATGGCAAAGTTTATTTAACAGATATATTTAGATTGTTTATGCAGAAAGTAAGAAACTTATTTCTTAGTAAACAGTATTTATAATTTGTTTAATTTTAAAAAACTAGTATAAATATTCCAAGATTTCCAGAGTGGGAATGCCTCAAGGCACAATTCTAGGACCTGTCTTTATCCCTGTGTAATTCCGTTCGTTAAGATTACTTGTTAAGGATAAGTACGATAATAGTCGTGCATTACATCGTATTGTTACCATCATTTAACAACAGGTTTACAGGATACAGTTAAACGTAATTTATACTAGTGAAGTTGTTGGGCGGGTGAATTTTTTGTTTGCTACACGGGCACTTTAAACTTGTTCCGTCCTTAAAAAAGTAGGAAATCGGAGCTAAAAAGTTGCTTTTGATGCGTGGAATATTCCACAATACTTATTTCGGTTGCAAACGCACGTAATCGTTTACTAGATTGACTGATGTGATAAATGAATGTAAAAATATTTTTCTTGAAAACTTCACGGTCATGTGGTTATTAAAAAAGTTAAATCTTATTTGTGTGGCCAATGACTTTTAATTAATTCCATTGCAGATAATGGCAACTGTCTCGGTTGGCGCGAGGGACCAAATAAGCCGTATGTATGGCAAACATACAATGAGACCCTGCTGAGAGCGAAAAACTTCGGATCTGGCCTTATATGTCAAGGTCTTAGTCCGGGTCAAAGTACCTTTGTGGGTTAGTGTTTTGTGATTTTTTCCGCTGTTTTTACTTTTACTATTGAACCTTGAAGGAACTACAATAATAAAATGTTTTCAGGTATTTACGCACAGAATTGTCCGGAATGGATAATGACGGAACAAGCTGCCTACTGCTATTCAATGGTTATAGTGCCGTTGTATGACACTTTAGGAGCCAACGCGTGTGCCTTCATAATAAATCAAAGTAATTGCCTTTTAAATATCTTTGATAATATATTTACTTTGTATTATTTTTATATTTCAAATTTAATGAGCGACCTTGTTTATTTGTGAGAACTCAAGGCTGGAGACAAGATCGTAGGCTGGGTGGGTTATTTTTAAGTGTCTTTAACCTGACCGGCATCTATAAATTTACCCACTATGTGATGATTGGCGGTGCCACTTATGACATTTATAGAAATTACGCAAGGACTTAATTAGAAGATTGAGGTTTATCCTGACAGGAAAACGTTAGCGGAAAAAACATTTCTGTTACGGGATTGTACCCCAAGATTTTTTTTGCATTTTGCAATTTAAATCTTCCTATTTACATCACGATAAAACGTTTTTAACGTATCATGCGCCTTAATGAATTCACAAAGCAAATCTGACTACGTTAAAATTTGCTCTTGCACATTAATTTAAGATTCTTAAAATGAAGGCGCTTATAAAAAAATGAAGTAGTATAAGTAACCTAAACCAATACGGTCTAACTAAAACAATTAGCTAGAGGCAAATTATTAAATATTAATTTCTATAATTATAATAGTAATAAATTATTTATTATAAATATTTATTAAAATCAAATTAATTTGCAAATTATCGCAAGACCTATTCATACGAATGTTCGTTTTAAATCTTGCAAAGTTCTTAACAATCTTTTCTCTTGTGCAGCTGAAATGTCAATAGTAGTGTGTGAAGATGATAAAAAAGCAAATCTCCTGTTGGATCAATCGCCGAGATGTCTGAGGAAGCTTGTCACAATCAAAGAAGTGTCGCCGTCGACGCATCAAAGGGCCAGGAGTCGTGGTGTTGATATCGTCAAGTTCAGTGATGTGGAAATTCAAGGAGCACAAAAAGACCATCCATTTGTCGTAAGTACTAAGCATAACAAAACAAAAAAACGGCTTTATTTTTCGTCCTACTGTTTTTTCAAAGTAGATTAATTTGATTGCTATTCTACATGCGTTAAATCTATTAGAAAAATGCTAACCTTGAGAAAAATTATAGATTCAGTAAAAACAATTAATTATTTTTTTTCTAGATTTATTCTTTTATTTATTTTTTTAAGGCCGTATTTTAAGCGATACTATTTAATATTTTAGCCACCGAAACCGGATAGTCTTTGCACGATCTGCTATACGTCGGGCACCACTGGTATGCCGAAAGGCGTGATGTTGACACACGAGAACCTGGTGGCGTCAATGTGCAGCGTGATAATGCAGCTTGGAGAACATCGGCCATCTAAACATGATGTCATGATCTCTTTCCTACCACTTGCGCATATGCTGGAGCGATGTTGTGAGGTAACATTTTTTTTTACTAATATTGCAACCATTATGAAAAAGCTGAATAGCTGAATTCTATTTCACGTGATCGGATGTCCGCACTCTCAGCGGTTAGGCTGTTTAAATCCTCAACAAAAGCTCTGATTGTATAGTCTTTTTGCCTTTTTTATTGCTATCTCATGATCATAATTGCATTGAAAACAATAAAAGGAAAATAAGAGGTACTTGCTACTGTTGTTCAATTTTATTGTAAACGTAGAGATAGAAATCTCAGTGCACCCAGTTTTATCAATTAAATGCAAATTGTTAACCTCATTTTAACATTGTAAATTTAGACTTCTATCTATTTTACACCGATTACAATGATTATGACATAAAAATTGTATTTGATATTTAAATTATCATCCTATTACAACGAGTAAATGGTGGGAGAATGGCGGAATAGTTTTACTAAATTCTCGCTAAAATTATTTCTTATCTTTTCAGAATGCTCTATATATGGTTGGAGGTGCTGTTGGTTTCTATAGTGGAGACATTCGAAGACTAGGCGACGACTTAGGCGCCTTGAAGCCAACTATGATGCCTGCTGTACCCAGATTACTTAACAGACTTTATGACAAAGCGCAGAGCGAGATTTCAAATTCCAAAATCAAGAAGCTTCTATTTAACATGGCGTTATCCGCTAAGGAATCGGAACTTAAAAGGTACGTGCAAAAGTTGGCCAAAATTATAACAATTAGCCGCCTTGAATTTACTGTCGATTGTTTAAATATAACGCATTTTACTTTTGTCGCCTAAATCGTAATACCGACAATATAAGAATACAGTAATTTTGACATTGAATATTGATATTAAAAAAGAATTAGATGAATTTGTCAAAGAAATTTGTCTTTGTGTAATGTTGTTTCCTTGAAATCCTAATTAATTTCAAAAACTGCATAGCTTTCTCATTACTTATAATTGCTAGATTATAATTAAAAGACATACATGACTGTGTGTTGAAAATGTCTCATTTAAATGAATCATGGCGACATCCAATGTGGCTATTTCCTTTAAAATGACGGAATACATATGAAAATGCCAATCATATGTCACGCAATGTCTGTATGTTCAGCGTGAATGGATATTCAGGTTACAATTCAGTGTTTTTTATTAGCACGCATTTTTCTTTTAGCATTTTCAATGTCATTTATATTCTTCTTGTAGGAAATATCAAGTTCTATGAAGATGACACTTTCCACACGGCCAAACGCTTTCAAATTATTTGTACATTCTTTTACTAAAACTTTGTTTATTTAAATTTATTTAATAATAGTTATTCTATCATGTTACAAAGAAACATCTGTTTTATATTATCTGTGCAGGGGCATCATCCGCGCAGATTCAATCTGGGACAAGCTTGTGTTCCGGAAGGTGCGCGAAGGCATGGGCGGAAGACTTCGCATTATGGTAGTAGGCTCTGCACCACTCGCTGGCAATGTTCTTACATTCGCACGATGCGCTCTTGGCTGTCTGGTAAGTTTAAATTTAGGATTCACTTTAATTTTAAATTTATATCAGCACTAGAGATACCATAGTCAAACTATAGCACATACAAAGTACATAAAAAGTTGATGTTAACAGTATTTGATAATGAGCGTATATTAAAATTATCAAATGGAATGAAAATATCACTACCTAGTTTCTTTAGATTGCGTCTTTTTATTTCTGTTGAGTGTTAATATAAAATAACTAATCCACTTGAAACAAATTTAGATTTTTATTGAACTCAGTACCTTGAATTTAATCCGTGATATAATTTCATGCATTACAATAAACGATATGAACTATTTTCTACTTGCATTAAAATAATCTATTGGAATATTCAACACTATCAATCATATTCCAAGAATGTTTCAAATAAATGGAAGATATTATTACTGGTCGTTGAAGCTTCAAGGTCGTCAAATTTAGTTCGCAGTATTTGTTTATTATTTTCCAAATATCTTGTTTGTTTTGGACCAACTTGGTATACAGATGATTATTTTGACTAGATATCGTTCATGATCATAAGATTTTAATATAAACATTCAACACTTTGATATATCTCATCTCAATATATGAAAGACCCGATGGCAAAATAATTTTCCAAAATAGCTTACTATAGTCTTCTTAGCAATGAGTTATTTCCAAGATATGATTGATCACATAAACACACAACTCACAAGCTAAAGAATTGGTACAGATTACAGATTCGGTTCGGTACTGGTACAATTTACTTCGTACTATCTCCACATTCATGCCCGTTAACGGTAAATTATAGATGGCTGTGATCAATACAAGATGGAACGTTGAGAGTGGTCTCTTGTTAAAAAGTTTAACTTATATATAAGTCTTCTCTTTGTTTCCAGATCGTGGAAGGGTACGGGCAGACAGAGTGCACGGCGCCAGTCACATTGACCGTGCAGGGCGACCACGTGCCCGAGCACGTCGGCCCTCCCGTCGCTTGTTGCAAAGTCAAGGTCAGTCCTTATCCTCAATCATAATTTTTCAACACCCTATATCTCACGTTTGAATCAAGTAAATATTCTGTACGGTGGTAAATTTTTCCTATCCTTTTTGAAGTTGGATACACATTAATAAGATACATACTGTATATACTGTAGAATTTGGAGAGCGGTTTAGTAAGTCCTATAGGAATTTTTTCACCATTGGTGATGGTGATGACAAAATCTATTTGCATAACAGCTAGTAGACGTGCCTGAGATGGAGTACTACGCGGCGCAAGGACAAGGCGAGGTATGCGTGCAGGGAGCCAACGTCTTTAAGGGTTACTTCAAGGAGCCAGAGAAAACAAGGCAGGTGATCGACCGTGACGGCTGGCATCACACCGGTGATATCGGCAAATGGCTGCCTGTGAGTATTCATAATAATTATCTTGAATCCAGTACTAGCACGTTCAATTTCACTATTTTTACGTCTTGAACTGAACTTTCATCTGTTCGTACTTGAGAATTCTATTATCATTCCTGCATTTTTTCAAATGATTACTATTTTTTTTTTACAGAATGGAACTTTGAAGATTATCGATAGAAGAAAACATATCTTCAAGCTGTCACAAGGCGAGTACATTGTGCCAGAGAAGATTGAAAACATTTACATAAGAAGTCAGTACGTCGAACAAGTTTTCGTGCACGGTGAATCATTGAAGGTAAGATTGGATATGTCAACCGACTTAAAAGAATAGAAGGTTTCAATTCTGTATTTTTTGCTTTCCTACTAGTACAGGAGGGTCAGCTTAACAAGTTTTCTCGTTCACGCTTTTCAATCTATCTGCTTTAAAGATATGCTGCTTTCAAGTTGTCTTTCATCGCCAAATTAGTCATTATATTTGTTCTAGGATCATCACGTGAATAATTCTATAACGAACATAGTATACTCTCAGCTATCACATGCAATTTGTTAACGCTATATTTTTTTTGGTTTCTTTCCAAGTCACGCTACCAATTGGCACACTCGCATCCCGAACATTGTTTTACTTTTTAAATCCCTTTAATTGCTATTTAAATGTTGTTTCTGAGTAACTAATGTAAAAATATACTTACGCTTGTAACGGAATGTCACTGATTTCTCAAGAGTATATCTTTCGTCGCTGATGTGTTTTTTGTGTACAATTTTTTTTTACTGTATATTAAAAATTTTATATTTAAATGTTATTTCGAATTAAATACTTTTTTCATACAGTTTCATACAGCTTAAGTATGAACCAAGTCGATCGAAATCTAGGTTCAGAATTGTATGATGATTTTACTCGCTAAATGCGTTCGCGCGATAATTACTATGATTTCAAAATAAGAATATGGATATCAACCTATTTTGGTTTTATAACGCTTAATATGTTTTTTTTAAATTCCAGTCGTGCATCGTAGCAGTGGTTGTACCTGACGTCGACGTGGTGAAGTGTTGGGCTTTGGAAAATGGTATTCAGGGAACTTTCTCCGCTCTGTGCGAGAACGAGCGCGTTAAACAGATGATATTGGACGATATGCTGCAGTGGGGCAGGAATGCGGGACTTAAGACATTTGAACAGGTAAACTTTATTTGTGGTTAATTGTCACTAATTGACCAATGTTTGCAACGCAAAACACCCACTGATAGCACCAAATGACAATTTGTTTAAAAAGTAAATAGGTCTGTTAATTATAACAGAGCTATAGTCCTAAGTATGCGTTGAAATGGAACAACAGAATACTAAAAAACGCGCTTGATTATATCAAAGTAGACCATACATTTTGCTGTTGTTTCTATTTCGCCTTGTTTCATAAAAAGTTGGATTCAGATAGTTATTTAATGGTCACTATTGTTAGCAATAAAATCAGACATGTGTTGGTGTATGGGTGCAACTAAAGACCTGTTAAATTATCAACGCTTATGTCCCCTCAGTAATCAATCTGACACTTGAATTGGTAACTAAAGCACGCCATTCGCGCCAAATTATTCTCACTAATATTGTCTAAAACTATGGAGTTATGTATCCCCCGTAAAAACACATATAATGTAAATATTGTATAATATTTGAAAAACTTTATTTTACTTTTTTAATCTACAACTTCGATATAATCGTCGTAACATTTATTCATCTTAAGTTATATTTAAAGTTTGATAATGTCGACAAATATGATAACTTAGTGGAATTTTTTATTTTTAGTTTATTTGTGACAGATTAGTCAATGTCAAGTCTAAAAGACAAGGGCAGTATAAAAATAGCTCGAATACGATAAGAATTAATCGATAACTACGAGCGACATTGAATGAATTCGATGCGGTGTGCAAGTTAAATATTTTATACAATAATAAATATTCCTCTTATATATTGATATAGATAAGTAAACTATGCATTAACTAGCTGTCGCCCGTGACTCCGTCCACAATTATTATAAAAAAACATAATGTTCCTATGTGTTCTTCCAGGCAATGTTCTATATCTATGCCAAATTTTAGCAAGATTCATGCCGTCGTTTTGGCGATACCTTCTAACAAACATCAATTTAAGTTGGTTATTGATTGAAATATTAGTTACGTCATAGGCCACATAAAGCATTAATATATTTGACGACTGAATCATTTGACATTATATTTTGACAACTGAATCTGAATCAGCAGCGTTTGTATTACGTACAAAGGATCAACAAAGGAACAAACGCTTAACAAGATTGGCGTTTCGGGAGGCTCTCATTTTATTGTTCACGTGTTGTATGATTAATTTGCTATATATTATCCGTTCACAGGTCAAAGACATATATTTGCATCCGGATCCGTTCTCCGTTCAGAACGGTCTCCTCACACCCACTATGAAAGCGAAGAGACCTGAGATCAGAAACTACTTCAAACCTCAAATAGAAGACATGTATAAGCAACTCGAATAGCGATCATTCGAGTAATAATTCGACATTGAATCGGAAATCGATTTCATTGATTCCTAAAATATTTTCTGTTAGAAATATATTATTAAGTTTTTACTTTAAGTGATATTACTATGGTTTTATTACGAAATAAGGCCGCACACAGACGTGAAATAAACAATATTTAAATTTAAATATTAGTTATCGTTAGTTTTTGAGACGAAATCCCTGTATAAGACATATCGTCATACAATATATAACAAAATGACTTTTACATGGATTTTTGTCTCAGAAACCAACGCTTAATGATATTAAGAATTTAAACGTTATTGAATATTTTCTCTGTCGTATGGTTATTATGAAAGCTAATACATGTAAGTGGTTTTAATTTTGTACTCTCTTCAATATTGTTTATTCTTGAGTGATTGTGATTAACTAAAAGCGAGATACTTAGGATAAGTTTAGCCTATAAAGGCAATAATTAAAGGAACATCAGTTTCTTACTGTGGGTTTCCACTGTGGACTTGTATTGTTGTCTCTGAAATTCTCTATATGAAAAGAGAGATGACGATACGTTTATACAAGTTACAGCAGTGGAGTTCCACGGTTATGTTGTCAATTATTGATGTGTTTGTAGTAGCAATTTTATTATTATTGTAAATTGCACAGTGTTTTGTGTGTTTGTTTTTTTATATTTGTTAATGAATAATTAAAATCCATGACACTATTTAAAACACAAATTAAATATAAAAGGTTAGTGTTTTAAATTATTTTAGCAATTCGGATGACATTTATAATAAAATTCTTGATAAATGAGAAATTTGTAACAATTTTGTAAATGTAAGTTACTGATATTTAACTTGAATTAAAATTAAAATGCTGCATTGCCATGACTCTCTTTCCGACACGAAAATTACCAAAAATAAAAGTGTAATCAAAAATTACAATGCAATAATTCTAAACAACAATATAAGTATTTTATTTATTAAATAGAAATATGCATTGTGGCATTGTATTCAAAATTATTGGCTTATTGGTAAATTAAAAAGCCCAAAAATTCGTACTTACTAGGGCCGTTATATAGACTAAAGTGTAGAACAATTTTTGTTAGAAAATAACATTTAGACTTTTAAGTCTAGGTTAATTTTATACGCAAACACAATTTATATATTTTTTAGTAATGAACAAAATTCAAACGCACCATCTCAGACATTCAATACTATAGTGCCATCCAAACTTAATGGCGGCTCGGAATTATCGCGGATGCTGTACGAATCATTTTACGAAATAGACATAAAAGTATGGGGAACCAGGCACATATATGCTGTTAACTTAATCACGAGCAACCATAAAGTTTGAATCTTTTAATACCATCCAATTTATTAGTATAGTATTTATGTATTTTTGCGGTTATATTCTATCTATACTGTATTACCACACACTGTGCCTTTAGAACCACTTTTTTGTATTTAAAATATAAAAAAAATAATTCGCATTTCGATACTCATCATAATTTATATATAGTCAGAATTTGGATGCAAAAGCAATAACGCGGTTCTACTAAAAATACTAAAAATTACAGAGAAAATCATTGATAAATAATTTTACTTCTTTGGTTCAAAATGGGTTAATTTGATATAAATAAATGTAATAAATACTTAAAACTTTGACCATGACGAATAATCTCTATATTTTCTATCGAGTGGTCACCAAGTTTGCACATAATGTACAGTTCATTGTTCAGAGCTTTTAGTATTTTTTAACCTCTGTCATACATTTAACTTTCATTATTGTAAGTGAAATATTTGTAACGATTTGTTTGATTTTTCTTGTTGCTATTAAGTGCATATGTACTTACGAAGAACGAATCTCGTATTGTTTGAAGTGTGTGTATGATTTTTTTTACCTGCCTATCTTGTGCGATGTTCTACTGTTTAAACTCTTCTGTTAATACATACTGTTGTCCCTTTCATCCTACTTGATATAATAAGGACAACAATATGTTTTACTACATGGGTTAGACAGTGGAATTTTAAGTAGCGGCTATATCTGTAGATAGTTTTGTATTCACCTTTTTAATACTAAGACATGCTTAGAGCGAATGTTGCGGTTTCGTGTTGTTTCAAACCAAAATTTTTGTTGTTATTGGTGCAAGTTGTACTACGATAATTTATTTTTAAATAAAAATTTTCTAAAACTTAATCATGGTTTTATTTTAATAGCATAAAGTGGTTACCTATTTAAAATAAAATGAAACTCAAAACTCTTATAAAAAGCAGGAATCAAAGACACAGATGAGTTGATACCTTACCTTGGTAGCTATTTTGCGGCACCGGTTTTTAACTGCGATAAGATACAGTGCCATTCAAACTTTACGGCTCTCATATTTCCACACGAGTCGCTGTGCTTAATACAATTTTCGGCGGGACGTAAAAATGTAACCCGACCTTAGTATCTAACCATGCTTTCGTCGCTCACGACAAGCCGCCATAAAGTTGGAATGTCATTATACTTTCTAGAATCTTTATTAAACCTAGTCCTTGTTAGTTCAGCTAGAGTACAGGAAATGATGGCGACCGCTAATCAAACAAGGAAGAAGTTAGAACGACCCTCGAGAAGTCTCGCAGAGATTATCTCGGTTTATTTCTAACTGGTGACGCAATCTTTTGTGACCGCGAAACAACATATAGGTCAGTGTGACGACGTTTATAGATACGCAGTTTCTAAGCATTTTATTAAATATTTTAATTGTGGTATAACTCCTTCAACGGAATTTAGATTGTAAAATCTATGTAGCAAGACTTCTTTTTGCATATCAAAGCCTAGAAATCAACTACACTGACTTATTCATCACCTATATATTATTATCCCTTAGGTACCTATATTGAAATATATTCATAAAAAAACTTTCTCTCCAGTTGAAACCTACAGAAATATTTTTGAACTTTTGTATAGATCATACAGAAATGTTAGACGTGGATTATTTAATTTAACTCATTTTACCAACACATTTCTGAATTTAAATATAAAGTACGTATCTCTATAATAACATTCATGTGTATTTGATTTTCATTATAAACTTGTTTTGAAGCAACGAAGTATTTATAAACAGATTAATTTGTTCTTTAACCATCAAGACATATAACATTATCATATTACTTAAGCTAATAACTAAATGTTGATAGTTTTACAAAGATATTAAAACGATGCTAAAGATGCTTCTTTCACACCATCTAGCGGCAAATGGCAACATTATACTTTTCATAGTATTTATTCTAACAAAAAATGTTAGACAAGAAATTATATGTGGACTTGAATTTATCAATATTAATAAAGCGAAATATTGCATGGTCAATAACAAAACACAATGTCTAGCTAAAATGTCTTTTTACGTCCGTCACGAATACCTACATTGGAAACCTATATAATTAATACATTACTGCTGCATCCTCTGTTTTTTTGCCTCATAGATACGTTTCATTAGCTTGTAAGGTTTAGAGTAGGGATTACTATAACATTAATTAGATTTCAACGCAAGCACGATTGAAAAGATGACTTGAATTGCGTTGCAGTTAATAAATTTGTATTCAATACCATGTAGTCAGTATTATTAGTACCTTTTACCACTTATCAGTTCATCATGTCGGAGCAATATCGTTTCAGTTTTCGTTTAGTTTTAGTTGCCAAACCGGCATCGAGGCAGTAGGGTGTTTTTAATGCTGACTACAAGTGCTGCCATCTATTGACGTCGAGGGCCACCGTCTCCTGTAACCTTGGCGCGTTGGCCGCTTCGTTCATTGGCCGCGCGGAGGCAAGACGAGTCGCCGCTCGCTCCCTTAACTATGCTATTCGGGCACAAAATACACCGCCCGAACGGGAACCGTCCCGCGCATACATAACCACGCGTACAGGTGCCAGTGATCGTAATTTACCTGTCAAAAACTATGGTGCAACGGCCGTGTTTATAACCTAACAGTGGTTACTTTATAGTGCAAACATGAAGTTTGATAAAATGTGGAAGTCATCTCGACACGAAGTTGGTGAGTGTTTCATTTTGTTGTTGTTTTCTTCATTAATAGGAATGTTTGTGAGTGATGATTTGATAGTTGTGTGATGTTATGCCGGGGCACGACACGAACAGTTGTTAGTCATTTACCAGCAGACAAAGCCGTGATCTCTGTACGGATTCTAAAAATAGCCTGCGGTGTAATGGCGGTTAGGTTAATCAGTGGTTTACTCTTAGTTCAAGTACTAGTGTGCTGATATTATTTTATTTAGTATCATTTAAGTATCTATGTTCAAAGTATGCATCTAAACAAATGTGTTGCCGGTAAACATGTTACAATTGCGATGTTGACATGATGTCAATCTTGCTTGTAACTCTTATCTAATAAAGTTTATCTTAAAATATCGTATCTGTCTGTCCGTTACAAGTTTCTACGTTCGTTGCTTTTTTTAAATGACTCATTACACAAGAAAAAAAGCAACAAAACCCTATTGAAACACCACTTGAGTAACTTATATGTTAATGCCAAATATATATATATATATATATAAAAAAAAACAGAATATAAGGCACACAAATATTTTTTTAGTAGTTCAGTTTTTGTTCAGGTTAGATCGTGGCCAAGCGCTTATTTGTTCATTATAAAAAAACATTTACGCATTTCAATTTAAAATTATTATCAAAAATAGTTAAATTTTTGCCATATTTCCGATGATAACAATAGTATTATGATAAAATTTGTCTTCAATATAGGGCTTATAGCAGTTTTTGTTTTGATAAAAACTGTTATATCAATTATCGACGAAGTAATTAGTGATTGCAGATTTATATTACCGGATAGGAGCCGAGTGAAGAGCGATGAATCGAATTTGTCATGACGTCATTGCGTAGTGTAGGTACCTACTTACTCGCTTCTAATCCAAACGACATTTCCAATCCAATAAAAACGTAAAGCCAGCCGTTCTCTATAATGAAAGCAGGTTTGCGACGCAATGAAATATAACTTTACATTATAGTTAACTAGTAATGTTGTTAGACGTAAGTAGTACATACTTGATTCTTCGGCTTTTTGTACTCTTATTTGGCGGGAAATATTTTTTTTTAAATAAATAATGGTAACAGTAACATGCTTCATGCCAGTATCATTTTATTACGTAAGTAGATTAGATAAAAGACACATGATGTTGAATTTTTGTTTTTGAAATTGGAAAATGGGTTTTTTTTTGCTAAGTACCAAGTTTGCCAAGTATATGTATCTACCTAAAACATTTATTAATCGTGAATGATACGGATTTGGAATTTTGAAATTTTGACGAGTTAGGGGTCTTGGAGTGTCATAGGACAAATGATAATGTCCTAACATTTCAACAGCCAGTTCTTTTTTAAATGCTATTTTTATTGTATTGATATATAAATAACCATGTGTTAATTCTTAATTATTCCAAACGTTTCGCGCATGATAGCCAACTAAGGTTTGCAAAGATCTAATCAGCTTTCGTGCCAATGACAGCTAACATCCAACCATAAATTAATTAGTATTCCAATCAATTGAACGAAGTTTTTTACGGAAATATTTTCTTCTTGATTTCAATATTCATCATTTGACAAACTTTACATAATAATCTAATTTTAGACACAAATTTTTATACAAGATTTTTAATAAAATTTAGTTCTACGCAGCAAAAGTATTTATAAT